TGAAGAGTTAAACACAAATTTAAAATGTAGTAATTAGCATTTTGCCTATTTGACAGGGGGCAATTTGAGCAGCTTTTGGTCTTAAAATAGCCATGAAGTGTCCTACATGTACCCTTAACATAATGAGTTTTTGTTTAGATGCTGGTCTTCAAGGATAGTGTAATTGTTGAAGAATTTCCCATCTATAATGAACTCTAGAGATATTAGAACTAAATGTATTATTACTAAGCTATCTAGTGTAAATATTTATAGCCCATTTATGTACAGGAGTTATAGTACAGTCAAGGAGTTAAAGCAGAGAATTGGGGGCAAGAAAGCCCAAGTTTTATTTTTAACTGCTGTTTGTTTGCAATGTGACCTACCGTAAGATTATAAATTGACTAAACGTAAGCAAAGGCTGTAAAATGGCTTTGAAGGAGTCCATAATAAATATGATTAGCTTTACTGGTATGCCAAGCATTCTTGCTATGTTCTGGTGGCCTTGTTTTCACTAAAAAATATTGTAGTTCTCACACAAGAGGTCACCCAACTGCTTTGTCTTTACTCAGGAACTAGCTAGAGGTAAAATCCTATTGAATGCCTTTTGTAATGAAGGTAAGGCCACAGAGGCATAGGAAGAACAGATTGACCAGTGTATAATTCACAAATGCCAAAAACTAAGTGAAACAGGAGGATGCAGTACCTCCCACCTACTTCATTCTGACAATGGCCAGCAGCTCTTTGATTGCCTTGTCTTCACTGCAGAGGCAAATTAAGGGTGCGTGTACACACACACACACACACACACACACACACACACACACACACTCTCAGAGCCTGGGTCAACTGACTCAGCCTGAGCACTGAAACTCAGCAAGGGGGTGTGGCGGAGGCCTCAGAGCCCCGGCTCCACCCAAGGGGGAACATCTACACTTCTATTTTTAGCCCCATAACGCAAGGCCTATGAGTCCAACTTAGTTGGCCTGGGCACAGAAACTCGCTGCTGAAAGGTCTCCCTACCCCACCCCCACCCCCCAGTGTAGACATATCCTTTAGCTCCTGGCCCTTTTCTTCAAGGCCCTATGTCAGCCAAACTTAGGCTCATTGAGATGAGCAAGTCAGCATCTCCATAAGATGCAGGTCTCCCCCCTTTTATTGTGACACCTTCCATACAATCCACTCATGTCTGGACCCCACACCCATCCCTAACAGGGCAGGCCTGATCCTCATCTCCAAATCCCTCCTTAAGAACTCTATTCAATTTTTTTCCAGCCCTTAAACAGGCAAGGCAAAAGCTGGCTGATCATTTGCTTTTGTTGCACGCCAGCCTCAAACCTTCATTTGTTTGCTTAGAGATGAGAGCGCCTATCTATTGGTCATCGGCAGGTCTAGCACACTGCTATCAAGGTTAAATTGTGCTGGAAAGTCAGCAAGACCAGGTGACTCATTTAGTAGTACCGCTCTTTTAGCAAGCTGGAGACCTATGTTTGCTTGTTATCCTGATACTATCTGAATTGTAGAGAATGTAATGTGACATGCAGGACACCCATCAGACATGACAAGAGTAGCGGGCAGCATCATTCCTTATAGGATGGAAGGCATAGCAATACACCCTAATGCAGTGATTCTCAACCAGGGGTCCAGGGCCCTGTAGGGGGCCTCGAGCAGGTTTCAGGTGGGCCTCCAAGGAGGGCCAGCATTAAACTCACTAGGGCCCAGGGCAGAAAGCCAAAGCACCACCACATGGGGCTGAAGCCCAGGTCCCTGAGCCTCACCACCTGGGGCTAAAGCTGAAGCCTGTAGCAATGTAGTTTTGTGGAGGCCCCCTGTGGCATGGGGGCCCAGGTAATTGCCCTGCTTGATATCCCCTAACTCCAGCCCTGGCTTTTATATGCAGAAAATCAGTTATTGTGGCACAGGTGGGCCATGGAGTTTTTATAGCATGTTGTGTGGACGTCAGAAAGAAAAAGATTGATAACCTCTGCCCTAAAGGAAGCAGATTCTCACTCCCTGGAGCATAAGAGCTTGTGATGCTCAAACTGATGAGTATGTAGAGATGCGCCAGGAGACAGATTATATATGAAAAACTTTAAACTCTCTTGCATGAAGTAGCCAGTATTAAGAAGTTTTTACTGTACCCTGACCAAGATTAGCAGCTAGTTTTGCAGTGGGTTTTTGGCAGAAAGAAAAGAGGTTAGATCTTTTCTCATGTTACTCTTTTTAAAGAGAGACTCAGTAATATACCTAACTTTAGACAAACAGCATCAATTTCCAAATACTGACATGCAGAGTTGACTTTCCATTTGGGAAAGTGTCCTTCTGAGCTCTTCATATCAGTTCTGTTAAAATCTTTTGTGCCACCCAGGCAAAGCTCCCTTCTGACACATAAGTAACGAGCACAGCATACAAGACTGATCTTTACAGCAAGGACAGTATCATTTGAGGCAGTAAGCCAAATTGGCAAGATACTGCTATTCATTGCTCCTCCCACTCATGGTGTACAATCATCTATTTACAGAGGGCTAAAAGCTCCCCTATTGTCTATCAGTAACCAGACATCATTCGAGTGCAACGGAAGAAAACAGGAGAGTAGCAGTCAGCTTCTCTATTGCAGAGAAAAAATCCAAGAACCAATAGTTTCTCTCTCCACCCAAAGGCCATGGCTACATTATGAGAGCTTACAGTAGCACAGCTGCACCACTGTAGTGCTGCTAGTGCAGACACTCAGCTGATGGGGGAGCTCTCTCCTGTTGACTTTGTTACTCCAGCTCCTGCTAGCAGGGGCAGCTATGTTGGTGGGAGAAGCTCTCCCACTGACAGTGATATACACACTGACACTTATGTCACTCGTGGGAGGGGGGAGTGGCTTATTCACACCTGAGCGACATAACTTACACCAATGTAATCTGTAGTGTACACATAGCCAAACATTTAGATTTAGCAAGACAGCTAGCAAAGGGGTTGAGAGAGTCTCGCACTAAAGAAAGTTTCAGTGACTAGTACTATGGAAACTTGCTCTAGTTTGATTGCCATTGCTGCCTCCTACAAAATGAGTGACATCTGCTAAGATTTCCCCTCTCCCATCATTTGGAAAGTGGCCCGAGCCCTCAAAGTTACCAGACTATGCTTATGTCCGAGTGGGCCATTCCTATTACATTAAGTGTACTGCGAGGCACCTGGATTGCCATCAATTCATTAGAATTTCCTCCCCTTTTACTGCTGCATGTTGCTGTACATAATTACCAGGGGATCTTCTTGTAGTACCCAAGTCTAAAAGCCTGAATGGGGAAGAGACCCAGTCTAGAACCTCATTCCAGCCAAGTATGAAACCACAGCACAGGAGAGGGTGCTGCTGCAGAAACGGATACCCACTTGAGAGATGGTCCTTCTAATATGAAGCAGACAGATTTAAGTTTAGTCTAGGTAATTTATCTAGCACTTATGAAAGCAGGTTTTCCTGAACTTCTCCTCCCACCCAGGCAGAGGTCTGGTCTATACAGAGAAGTTACTAGCTAACATAGCTACATTAGTCAGGTGTGTGAAAAATCCACACCATTTGACATAGCTATACCAACCTAGCCCCCAGTGTAGATGCACCTATGCCAATGGAAGGGTGCTTCCATCCACATAGCTACTGCTGTTTGGAAAGGTGGTGTTCCTACACCAACAGGAAAACCCCCTCCATTGCCGTAGGCTGTCTTCTACAGGATGCTGCCAGCCATAGCTCCAGCAACGTAGCTATGCTGGTATAGTCTTCATAGTTTAGACATACACCTAGTAAAGGCTGATCAGCTTACATTGGTAGCCCATGGCCTCGAAGGGCTTAAACAAAAAACAGCAACAAGAGCTAAAGGAAGCCCAGCCACCCTCACACAAGCAACAGGGAAAGCAGAAGGCATAGAAGCTGCTGTACTGCTCCATGCCATTAGAGCTAGTGCAGCTGTTTTCAGTCTGTGGACCAAAAGGTGAGAGGCAGAGAGACAGAAAGAGCTTTCAGTTCCAGGGCATAGAAAATAAAGTTTCAAATCCCAGAAAAGGGCATTCTGTTTTTCTGATCAATCCAAAGTATGTGAGTACCCCCACCTACAGGTCAAAACCCAGAAGTGTTATAGTTATCATAGAAGCCCACAGTTTAGCACCTTCTCACAGTGTGTCAAATGCAGGGCCGAACTTGTTAGTTGAATTCTGTTCAGTCAGTTTTCAGTCCAAGAATGCTATGATCAGGGTCCACAGACCAGAGGTTGAATTTCCAAAAGGGTCTGGCACCTCCATTTGAAAAATTTTAGGGGTCTGCAAATGAAAAAGGGTTGAAACCCATTGTGCTACTGTAAATTTCCCAAGACTAGTTATACTGATTCTACAGCCAGATTCTTCTAGTGATCTAGGGTTGCTACACTGTACCTGAAAATCTGGTCCGTCAGTCTCATATGGCCTTCCGAGGCCTTGTCTACACTAAATGGAAAAGTCAATCTAAGCTACGCAATTTGAGTTACGCGAATAGTGTAACTCAAACTGATGTAGCTTAGATCTACTTACTGCAGGGTCCACACTGCACGATGTCGAAGGAAAAGACTCTGATAGACTCCCCTTACTCTTCTTGATCTGGTAGAGTACAGGAGTCGACGGGAGAGCGATCGGCGGTCAATTTAGCGGGTCTTCACTAGACCTGCTAAATTGAACACTGATGCATTGATCGCCACAGTGTCAATCCTCTGGAAAGTGTAGACAAGCCCTGAGTGTTCCTAATAAAGTCTATAACCTGCCCTTGCAGCAGAATGAATTTGATCAAGCGCTTAAGATAATTTTCTCTTTCTACCCTGCAAATGGCAAGCACATTGAGCATTAGAGCATTTCTCAGCAGTCTTTATACAGCAGCACATCTAGGAAGTACATTCTAGGTGGGCACTCATTTCTGCCCTCAAATGTATGGCTAATTCCTTTAGAAGTTAATGGGAACAGCAGCTGTATTTTAGAGTCAGAATAGTGTCCAAAAGGTAACTTGAGGGCATGCTGAATTGAACATTAAGTTCTCGAGTCTGACAGTATAGCACTACATGACAAGACTCTTCCCAATCATCTTTTAAGAGTTAGATTATTGTAGGTGAAGCTGGGTAGCACCACATATTAAGATTGTGTAACTTATTATAACCAGTTGCTTTAAACTGATAAGAACAGGTACTACGCTTGATCCTAGCTCAAAGAGCCGAGAAGCAAAGACTGAGACCTACCCACTTCTGGATATATTGGACCACTCAATTGTTCTCACCTCCATAATCAGTAGGAAGCTAATTGTGAGTGCTTGCGCTGTCTCAGAAGTTAGGTTTAAGCCTATCATTCAAATTAGAATCAGCACACCTACAACTTTCTACTGAAGTGTGCAGCAACACCCCAGCTTCTCTGTTTGCAGTAGGTTCATTCACAAAAAGCACCCAAGATGGGCATCGTTCTGCAGAAGCTTATTGCTGGTCATACACAGAAGCACTTTCCCGGTGTCATGAGCTGCATAACTGACAAAATCATGTTATTTTACTCATTCTGATAGTTCCAGGAAAATCCTGCTCAGTATGCATGTAAAGTCATCATATACCTTCTGAATGATGAAAGAAAGACAATGCAAGTATTAGCTTCTTATTCACACTTAGTCACCCGCAATCTCAGAAAGGTTAAGAAAGAGTCAGGCAAGTTCAATTTAGATCATGTCACAAGGAACTAGCGTCCAGGCATTTAAACTCCAATCCTTAGAATAAAGTCACAATGCAACAGATAAATAGATACTGCTAAAGCATTCAAGATTAGAACAAGGAGCTCAATAAGTACCTTATTGGAAGTGACTGGGTTCACAACCCTTACTCTCACTCCTTGAATAGAATTACAAGAATCAGGTCTACAAATTCCCTCTTTATGTAAAAGAGAACTCAATGAGTCCCTTGTCCCAGGACTAAGGGCATGTCTTCACTAGCAACGTTAAAGCGCTGCTGCGACAGCGCTTTAACACGGCTGTGTAGTTGCGGCACCAGCTATTAACAAACCCACCTCTACAAGGGGAATAGGTCCCAGTGCTGGTGCACTGTCTACACTGGCATTTTACAGCGCTGAAATGTACTGCGCTTGGACAGGTGTTTTTCCCACACCCCTGAGCGAGAAAGTTGCAGCACTGTAAAGTGCCAGTGTAGACAACCCTAAGACACTATACTGCAGTTCCTTTTAAGTCACCTGCAACAAGTGTAAAAGTAGTTTGCATTAAGCCAGAAGAAATTCCTTTCCACTAATCTATTGCTACAGCTTAACATGCAGATGCCAAAAACTTTTATTGTGGGAGCAATGTGATTTAAGAAAAAAAAAAAAAAAAACATTAGCTAAGATGGTCAAGGATGCAACCCAATGTTCTTGGTGTCCCTAGCCTCTGACCGTCAGAAGCTGGGCGTGGAGAAGAGGGAATGATCACTCAATAATTGCCCATTCTGTTCATTTCCGCCAAAGTACCTGGCATTGGCAATAGTCACTGTCAGAAGACAGGATACTGGGCTAGATGGACCATTGGTCTGACCCCTCATGGCCATTCTTATGTTAAGGGTTCTGGACTTAGGCTCTTTCTGCATGAGCTGCAGTCCTTAAATGCTTTGTCCTGCAAGCCTCTCTCTCTCTCCTCCACAGGACTGTGTGGAAGTGTTCACAGAACAGGGCCTTAAGCTATCAGAAGTGATCAATCTATTGGGAAAATCAGTCACCAAGAGTATCTTGGCTCCAAGTATAATTTTTTTTGCTTTCTGGTAAGGAAACTATTTTCATTCAGGGATAGACAAGCTCTAGTACAGGTGGCTTATGGGCGGGGGGGGAACCACACATCTAGTAGGCTTTTTTTTTTAAACTTCAATTAAAAGGACCATCGCTTGTCATTTGAAGACAAACTGACACCCATCGTTTAATGTAGCAACTAAGGGTATAGTATTTAGTGTTGTGAAGTGAACCAATTTTGACAGGTCAGGCTGGGTTGGAAAACTGCAAGTCCCTTCCCCTCCCTGCCTTAGAGGAGTAGTCTAAAGAAGTGATCAGGGCAGTGCAGCAGGGCATAAGTTTTTCCCACAGCATGGACCATGTCTTAGGGAAATTCTCATGGAACACCTCTCCCATTCGTAACTGGGCATATCACTTCCTCTCCCATTTGAGATTGCATAACATGCTTGTGGGAGCTATAGCAATCAGTTACATGCAACAGACCAAGAAAATTTTTCATTTGTTTGGACTACATTTTAGAAATTAGAACATAGCAGCCAGCCAGAGGCCCATGGACCTAGATTCTCAAACAATATAGCTTAATTGGCCAGAATGCTTGCTTGTAGAACACAGGTAGAGAAAATAAAGTTTAAGAAACAGACTAGCGAAGAATTACTAGAGCCAGCCACATGCTTCACTGAAGTGTACTTATGAGCAGGGACAGAAAAATCCATTAAGTGCTAGCACCGATTTTAGCCCAATACTATCATACACTCTTGATATTAGTTATCTAACAATCAGTGGACACCCTAATGAGATTGCCATGGATAGTAGTCATTAAACACTCCAAATAGTTTATAATATGAAACACGTCAATTCCCACACAACCCATCCCAAAAAACCGAAACAAAATCCACACAGCAAAGTTTGCGGTTTTCCAATGCTGGAAGTAGTTTACAAAGGAGACGAAGGTGTCCCCCAATAACAGCACACATTCCCTAGGAGCAGAGTTTTAAAGTGAAATTTTTCCATTTAGTAATTCATACCTTGTGATGCAACCAGATAGGTAGATTTTTAAGTTTATTCAAAAGCAGAAAATTTGCTTAAGATGACTAGAAAGTCATCTCACTCCTTCCCTTTTGAAGGACTAGTTTTGTTTTGCAGTAATATCAATCTTGCTTCCAGGACAGATAAAAAGTTGCTGGGTTTTGTGTTTTATGAAATTTATGACCCAGATCCAACCTAACATTTGTTGGTTTATAGTTGCAAAATAAGTTCCAAATGCACAAGTTTAACATTTTTAGATTTAGTTTATTCACTGCACTTGTCAAGGAACACTCATTCACGTTGTTTGCTCAGACTCTTGAGTGTGTGCTTTTTTTTTTTTTTTTTTAAATTTTAAATTTTTTTTTTTTTTATAAATTTGGAACGGACTTTAAAAGGTGATCGAGGCCAGTCCCCTGCCTTCACAGCAGGACAAGTACGGTCCCTGACAGATTTTTTTTTTTGCCCCAGATCCCTAAATGGCCCCCTACTGTTACTAATTAAATAGTAAGCTTTATTTTTTCCCCAACCAGACAGAGTCTGAACGTTTCCTTAATTGAGAATAAGCATGTGCTGCTTTTCAGAGAGTGAGAAGTCATGACAACTCTGGCAGTTGACACTTGCAAGGCAAACAGCACAGCTCTAGACAGAGCCACATTATATGCTTAATTGGAACATTAAAAGAAGCTATTTGGACAACCTGTACTATTATTAAGTATCAGAGGGGTAACCGCGTTAGTCTGAATCTGTAAAAAGCAACAGAGGGTCCTGTTGCGTCTGATGAAGTGGGCATTCACCCACGAAAGCTTATGCTCCAATACTTCTGTTAGTCTTAAAGGTGCCACAGGACCCTCTATTGCTGTACTATTATTGTTTGCAAGGAGAGGTTTTTTAAGTGTGCCTGTGTACTTGATGCACTCCTGTGGAACCTTAAGCATATCAGGGTCCAAAATTTCTTGCCAAGCCACTTCAAGAGTATGCCCCCAGCCAGATTACAAATATATTAACATTAGTTAACTGGTTAAGAACAGGTTTAGAGACTGCTTTGCCTGAACCGTGTAAGCCAGGGGAAAGCTTGCTAAAGCCATTTTCGAACAGTTTTCCAAACTAGGTATGGAAAAGTAGATAGGGCTTGATAAGGCAGTTACTTTAGACATTAACCTTTCCTATCATAGGATCCAACCACTGCATCTTGGACTCTACCCTGCACCAGACGCCTATGTTGCAGACACCCCTTTGGACCCAATTCTCCAAATATGCGTGATCGCCCATAGGTTCTCCTTTGAAATTCAGTAAATACAGCTTTGAGTGCTGTGATTACACATTCTTGTTGAACACTGACATGTGAAGATATTTTGTTTGTCCTTTAAAAACAAACAAAAGGACAGTCCTACAAGAAGTTATTCTACATTAACCAAACTTAGTAGCCCTTAAGAATTAATAAACCATAATGAGAGATTTCTGAAAAGGGTAGAGTTTAAAAACTAGTGGTTTCAACTTAATATGAAGCCTTTAAAAAGCTAATTTTCCTTATTCTGTATTAAGAGACTGTACCTTTGACTGTTTATAATGAATACTGTACAAGTTCATACATCACACATAAGGGACACTCTGGTTCAAGTGTTAAATTCTTAGCTGTATTATTGGTAGTGTTATTAAAACCATTTTAAAAAGGCATCTAGTTACATTTAAGAAAGTAAATAGCATGATAAAGGTATCAGTTGTTTTAGCTTGCACACAGAGGTCCTGAGAGTTACATCAACTTAAAGATGAATCAGAGTCAGGCCCCGATATTAGAGTAGTCAGTTTCACTTTCTGGCTCTAATACATTAGAGCAGTGGCTTTCAACCTATATGCAGCCCACAATGTGTTACCTGGGCTATAGGTTGAAAACCACAGCCCCCGCTCCCCCACCGACTCCTATGTCCAACGCCTCCCGCCCAGAGACCCCTCCACAAAGTGAGGCCAGGAGTGGAGCCCTGGGTGGCATGCCCTGCAGCAGGGACACTGGACCCCACCAGACCCTCGGTGGGGCCAGCAGCCCCGGACTCCGCACTGTGGGGCCAGCCCATGACCCCAACCCCACCACACCCTGCGGGGCCCACCAGGCAGCCCATGGCCTTCAGCACACAGTTGGGCTGCAGCTATGTGCTAATTGGGCCACATGTTGAGAACCACCATTACAGTAACCACAACATTTGGACTATAGACCCTTCAGAAAAAGATGTGTTTACACAGTTTTTCTCAACCAACATTTAACAAAGAAAGGCATTAGTCTAAGAGCTTTCAGCTTTAATTATAAAACTTCAAGCCAGTTTGACCTGAAAGCATCCCTTTGGAGTAGAGTTTCTATTCAGTCATTGAAAAGAGGGAGAACTAGACCTGCAGAAACAAATGCCACTTAGTCTGGTGAAAAAGAACTTCAGTTTACATGGTTTAGGTCTAATGCTTTCCTTA